TTTCTTACAGATTCGTTATATACTACATATACGAGAGAGAAATAGAAATCTGCACGACAAATCTGAAACGACACGCACGGATATTCGCAGCCCTAGTATCTCTTCTCTCTTTTTAATTAAACAACATCGATCGTTGTGAATCGAGTCGAAGCATTTCTTATTATTTCGGTATGTCCAGGATATCAGCTGGATATTTAGAGTGATAGCAGTTTTACGACGTACAACGTATAATGATACCTATTTAAAATTCATTCCATTTTTCGTTGCACGTACATCTCGTTCGTCCATTTTTATTCGTTCACCGATTTATTCCAATAGAATTAAAGATGAAATAAAAAAAAAAAAATATGTATACATATTTGATTGATTTTTCCTTTTTTTCCTTTCATTCGAACTACCATGTACGCATAATGGAAGAATTTGTAATTTTAGAATACGTGCGATTATGAGTAATTCTTGGAAAATTTATAAATTAACACGATGAATCTACGAAAATTTTTCCCCGTTACATGTATAATTTAATTCAATGCCTTTATTTATTTTAAATTTAAATAACTTAGAAAACTATATATTTTACATAAATGATACTCGATAAAATTTTAATCCTTTTTTAAAAACGGCATCGAATCAATTTACACATCTGACACAACCACGAGTTAAAAATATTGAATTTTATAAAACAAATGAACTCGTGCCATGAATAAATAAATTAACACAAACAATCATATACACATAAAATACTCTTAAATATCTAAGAATCTCTTTCAGAATATACATATGGATACAATTGATTTATCAAAGAACGATATTCATCACGTTTGTCATACACGTTTTTTTTTTTCCCTACCAGACAGAATAAAATTATTCTCAATGAACGTCGCAATCACGATACATCGAATATCATCAACGATAATCGTATCCACGTATCCAACCGCGATACCATTATCCTTTGCACGTCGTCTTTGCTCACGACGCGACGGAACCATTTTTTTTTATACCAATAGTAAAACCGTTAAGTAGATTTCTCGTTCCTCTAATCAATTATACTAAATTGGACGATGCTTGCCTCTGTTCGTTCTCGCTGGAGAAAAAAGAAACCGCATTCACACACGTTCTCATCAAAAATACACGTTTGATATGCTAACCGTATATCTCTTTCCTCGCGATTTAATAAACCCACACTTTTTTTTCTGTCGTGAGTATTCTCTTTCTTTTTTTTTTTTTTTTCCTATTCTACCGTTCACTGTCCACTCTACAAAATCAACTTCTCGCATATTATCGGTGGATCTTATTTGTTATCGTGGAAATTACAATAGAATTTCTCCTTCTCTTTCATCCTCTTTCTGTTTCTTATTTTTTTTCCTTTTTTTCCTTCTTTTTTTTTTTTTTTTTTAATTGATCAGTCACTGTCCACCTTTCTCGTTTCACCGAACGACGGGATCGACGAGAAATTGAACGGAATCAACAAAAGAAGAAAAAAAAAAAAATCTTAAATATCATATGCATATCGTAGCGGTCAGCTCGAATGCTGAAATCAGCATCGGATTCAGGCTAAATTTACGTATCGACGGGATCGAGAATGTAGTCCGGGATAGTCGAGGATCGTTTTAAATGGCGATTTAAAGCGTTTCAAGGTTTTTCTTTTCCCCTAATTAATCCTAGGAAACGTAACGGTTACCATCTTTACCGCTAACTTAAGGTTACACGAATATTTACAACATCCTAAACGGTAATTAAGCGTTGACGATTAACATGCCCGACCGAGAACCAATCGACTTTTTTTTTTTTTTTGTTACCGAGCTTAGAGATTTACGGAAAACGGATCGATTTATTTACAATCATACTTTTTCTCAGACTCTGACCATAGAATTAGGACCATAGGGATAGAAAAATTTTTTTTTTTTTATTACAATTTTGCGTTGAAAATATATAGCGATTCAATGTGTTATTTACTGAGAAAAATTAAAATTATTATAAGAATCCATTTGAGAATCAAATTTTCGAGTTTTTTTTTTTTTTGTTAAATCAATATTACTTTAAAAGTTATTCTTGCACAAATATTCTCGAGAGTGATTTTAAAAATATATAAAATTTTAACGAAATATATTTCATTGTCCACATCAAAATATTTTTTCGTTAAATCTTGTTATCAGAATTTACAAAATTCTAATGATAAAATTAAAAAAAAAAACAGAAAATTTTCATTTTTGGTCGTAATTAAATGGACAAAGACTGCACCCCGGAGATCGCACAGCATTTCTTTCTCTTACTCTTCAAAATTATCTTCATAAATTTAAACCGTATCAGAATTGTTCAACGTTATTCAATTGTGAAAGATAAACTTTTGTTTAAGCTTTTAAATCAATTATAAATTGAACTTCATGGGTGTGCTATGGGAAGAGGATATAATTTTATATTTTTGTTTCCAATGTTTTTTTTAAAATGAAAAAGTAGAAAGGTGAAAAAAATCTTTATCTTTTTCTTTCTTCTTCCCTTTCTTTCTTTTATTCTTCATTCCATTTTATCATTTTCTTTCTCTCCTCTTTATCCAACTTCTCCATCTTTTTCTCTTTTATCATATATCGTAAAATCGAACTGAATTTTTCGAACGAATATCTCTTCTTTCTCTCGCAATTTAATTGCCGTATAAACATGTTCTATTTCTTCCTCTTTACCAGAAATTGTTCAACTTCGTGAAAGGCAAATCCAGTTTAAATTAATTGTGAACGAACTTCATCTGTCCCAAGAGAAATAATAAACGAATATAATTCCATATTTCTGTTTCCAATATTTATTTTGAAAACCTCGGCGAGATAAACCGATGAAAAAAAATGGGACGCGGAAAAAAGTCTCTTTTTATGTTCCTCTTCCTCTTTATCACTCTCCTCTTCTTTCCTCCTTCTTATCATCCTCTCCTTTATCACCTTCCCCTACCTCTTTATTACTCTCCTCCTTTATCGTATATATCGTAGAATCGAATTGAATTTTCAATGAATACCTCTTTTCTCTCAATTGTCGTATAAACGTGTTCCATCCATCCCTTCCTCCTCACCAGAATTGTTCAACATTATTCAACCTTGTGAAAGGCAAACTCCGTTTAAGCTTTTAAACTAATTGTAAATTAAACGAACTTCATCCGTGCGCCAAGGGAAGACTATATAATTTCATATTTCTGTCTCCAATGCTTTATTTAAAAAAAAAACCGAAACCGAGATAAATCGATGAAAAAAATGGAATCTATGAAAAAAATCTTTCTTCCCTTCTCTAACATCCTCCTCCTCCTTTTTTTTTTATCAACCTCCTCCTTCCTTCATTTCTTTATCATACATCGAATAATAATTAAATCGAATTGAATTTTCGAACGAATATTCTTTTCTCTCTCGTAATTATCGTATAAAGATGTTCCATCATCGTCTTTCTCCTCATCGTCAAAGATATGAATAATTTTTAATATCCCTACACACACATACACGCGCGCACGCGCGCGCACACATACACACACATATACATGTCAACCTACTTATTACTTGAATCGAGTTAATCTTGGATCCACTGGTGGTGCAAGAGTAGAGTCTTTAAAGAGTAAAATCCAGACGAAAGGTTTCTTCGGGGAATTAAAAAGGAACGCGATTAATTAACTAATTTTAACAGAGAAAGAAAAAGAGAGAGAGAGAGAGAGAAAGAATGTGTGTGGACATTCTCGTTACTGTGCGATCTACGTCCGGGTTGTCGGAAGACTACCTGTAATTTTCATAAAACGCTACCACAAACGGACGGCCTGGTTTTCACCTATTTCTCAACGACGCTAGAAAAAGAATCCATTAACGTTGCACCCTACTTTAGGAATCCTTCCGTGGCGTCTACTTAAAAAATCTCGCGAGGGAAGGGAATAAAAGAATGGACAAATTGTAACGGATCTCTCAAAAATTTCCACTCTATCAGGATTGAGCATTGAAATAATTTTGTTACCTGACATTTCAATTGTTTGACAATTTGTGAATGAATTGATGCTGAAACTATTGACATATTTAACATGTTGGTAGATTATACATAGATGATTAGAATTTAGAAGAAAATGTTGTAGTAAGTAACAAGAGGCAGATATAATTGTTTATTCCTGTCTGAAAAGAATATTCACTTTTAAATTAAAGTGATCTACGCGTATACTTGATAATTGCAGACATAAAAAATTCGACGAATTTTTTGTTTAGCAGTTCTAACGTTACATATACAAATTTCTTAAATAATTCATTTTTCACTTCATTTAATTTCATTAAATAAAAATCGCCCAATCCTGCGTACTACGTAATCCATATCACATACAATTATTCTCACAAAATCGTTAACGAAGATATTAATCGTATCACAGACAAGGAATAACACGATGACTAGAAAAAATTTTCAAAAATGTTCGATCGACTAGATTTCTCGTTTTCTACGTGTTCCTCCAATCTTATCGGAAGTTACTCGATTTTGGGTGTAAATTTTAAACCGCGAATATACTTTGGCGAATGACGAATTAAAAAAGAATTTGGGATGAGAGAGAGAGAAGGGAAAAAAAAGAAAAGTATAAAGGAGGAGAAAAATAGAAAGAAATCGAAGTTTCCATTTATACGAGTGGAAACTCGCCAAAAGCGATTTCTCTTCGGGACTAGATTCTATGAAAAGAAGTGAGAGCATATGAGAAGAATGAAGGAAGGGAGGGGAGGGGAAAAAAAAAAGAGGATTAATCGATGAGATGGACGTAAATGGAAGCGAAACGCTTTAAATCTTTCCCGTTGATCGAATCCTCAGAGCGATTCGGGATCCATCGATACTAAATTCGCCAAAATAGGTCCCAGATCTGGCATGAGACGACCCTGAATTATTTGTTAGGCATTTAAGCTATATACAGAGGGGTGTGTTATCCTTAAAGGAGATCGATATGTCTCATTGGTGGCGCGTTGGTACAGGGAATCCCTTGGATAGGGAAAACCTTGTTGCAATGGCTAATTTTCTTCTTCTTTTTTTTTTTCTTTTTTTTCTCTCTCTCCTCTTCGACTTATTCCTTCGCAGACAAGGATCCATTAGTCAACGCCATGACTGGGCCAGAACTTCCCCTCGAGTTTGTGTCAGAGTTTAGTTCCAAGGACGAGTCCTGCAACATAAAAGGGAACGAGTATTTGTAATAAATATTTAAAACAATATTTGGATTTGGAGGAGTGATAAAATTTAAATTAAATACATTATTCCGAATAATTAGAGATATTTTTAATGGAGAGATATAAAATGAAATGGAAATTTATGAGAGAGATGATTTTCGAACGAAGTTGTTTCCACAAATAAAATTACAATTATTACTGTACGTTTAATAAAAGTAATTTCTATTTCAACAATCAACTTTCATTATTTCGGATTAACTCCTAGAGTGTTGTAGCTCATCACTGAACTGCACACTGCATTTTAATGTGGCACGAATTTTCATTATTATTGCTATACATTCTTTTATTCTTATTATAACACGTCACTTTGACGTATAAATTTAATAAAATAACGTATAATCTTTCACTGGGAAATATATCCATAATTCTCACCGATTTTTAATCTCTAATTTTTAATCTCTTTTTAAAAACAATTCGTGGATTTGAAAAATCCAAGTGCACTTGTATTTCCCTCAATTTTAAACATTCAGAAACAAAAGAAAAGAAAAAAAAACTCGTACAATTATTCCAATATCTTTTGATCAGAAATTCTACAATGCAATTGACAAAAATTTCAATTTCTGCAAATAAAACATTTCCAATACCGATTGCTTTGCAAAAATAAAAGAAAAAAATTCCGATATCCTCGGGAGACGCGTTAAAAATAAATCGAACGGTTACGTGGTGCTCCACCGTTCCACAGCGAATCGCAATGAATTTTTTCGTGCGTGTGTTACGACGTAACTTGACTACATCTTCGAGAATCTTCGATCACGAAAGCAATAACACGTTTACGCGCGGTGATTACACGGATACGACGGTTTCGCGCGACCATTTGCCAATGATTGTCTTCTCGCCACGAATGCGAAATCGAAATGGTTGAAACGTGGTGGACGCATTTCGAGAGGCCTTGGCGTGATTTATCGACGAAAGGAAAGCTTTCTCGATCTCGGTGTTGATCCTTTTATGAAGATACAAGGGATGGTATTTGTCATCGAACGATCGATTACTGTCTGTCATTCTATCGATTTTAATGGACAGAGCATAGAGATGATATTTGTCATAACATCACGTTGCAAAACTATTTATTTTGATTGATAATGCAGATAATAGGCTAATTGATATGTCGAGGAAAATGACAAAGTTTTGTGACAAAAGGGATAAAATGGAAAATTAGAAGGTAAAATAATGCAATAATATAATATCGGTGTATCGATACGTTGAGCGAGATGAGAAATTTTGTGATGAAAGAAATCTTTGCGATAGAGTATAAAATTATGATAGAAAGTGAAACGAATTAAATAGAACGTAAAAAGGATCAGATTTAACGTGTAAAGTAATAATGTTTAATGGAGTGCAATTAATTTTCATTTCTATTAAATTAAAAATTTATATCGGTGGATGTAAAGATTCTTTGTACGATTTCATTAATTACTCTGGTTTCGAAGGGAGCAGATTACTATGAGAAACCTGTTACAATTGATAATCTGTAATATGATATAAAAATTAATACGAATTTATATTCGATTTAACTGGCGCGACGCGCAGTGGATATAAAATTAATAAATACGAGGTTGTGATGAAAGAAGGGAATTCAGTTGGAATTTAATTTACCCACCCGTGAACGCTTGAATATTACACATCTATACAAATGTCCATAATAAATGTATTGTGGATCAAACCAATATTTCTCGAATTCTATTACTTCACGTTTGCTTTTCCTTTTCAAAAGGAATATGATAGAATTTTACTTTGATCCCGAAAGATACTCTTTTCAACGCTTTTTTCCTTACACGTTAAAACTTGTTGCAAAAACTTGTTAAAAAATCTTGATTAGCGGGGAAGTTTTAAATTTTAGAGGAAAAGAAAAATTTATATAAAAATTCTACAAATTCTACAATTGTATTGAATTTCACGTACAATATTTTAATATTTGCGATAAAAGTAATAACTAATTTCCAATAACTTTATATTGTTTTATAAACGCAATAAAAATATATTATTACTTACAATGCTGAGGGCATGCATGATGCAAGCTTGCGTAGTGTTCTCAACGTGGATCAACTCGTCGCACTCTTCGTGGTCCAGCCCATTTACATCGGATCGTATTTTAATCGGTGACAAAGCTGCCTCGTTATCTGTTGATTTACCACTGTCAGGAGAGGGTAATAATTCGTGTCCATCCAGATCTTCTTCTTCTGCGCGTTCCTCATAATCTGATGCTTTCGTTTCCTGTTCACAAATAATTAAAAAATAAAATGATTTAAATTTCACGATAAATTTAATCATTAATTAATACATAAACTATATATATATATATAATAAAATAATTTTCTAATAATTTATGTTGCCAAATATTTGATCGTCTCAAATAATAATGCGCAATATTTTCAAAAATATTAACATTATAAAATAAATATAAATTCACGGAATAATAAAAATAATAAAACAATATTTCTGTAAAATATGTCTCGAAATTTTCCAAAAAAAGAAAAAAAAAAAAAAACTATGGAACAAGAATTGTCCGTAACGTAAGATAGATCGAGCAGTGCGCGAATAAATTTATACAAAGGATATCGCATATAAAAATACCCTAAGAATCGAAAGTACGTGATCAATTGAGCCCTCTGACTTGACCTGTTCCACTTTTCTTTTGTACTCTGTGATAGTAAAGCGATATTCCTAGTCTGACGCGTGTCGTACGTACTAGTGTCGAGCTCTACTTACTTTATCCAGTTGGCTGACCAAAGCGGAACCTATATTACTTTCTCATTTTTTTCATCTAATTCTCTTCATATCTCTCTGATGCGTTATACTCTCGTTATTTGCACATTGATTGTATTATAAATAGTGCATTGTTTATTGCATATATTAGAAGAATATCGTATGTACTATTTATCTTATTTATTATTATTAGAAATTAATATATATATATGTAATATTATTTATTTTTTAACGAAAAATCAATTTTAACGAACGTTCATGGAATCTTATTGTCAAATATTTTTTTAACTATTATTATATTGTTCATCTTTGAATTGAATTAACCATTCTGAAATATCATTCTTTGAAATTTCACTATATTATAATTGGACTTAATTAGATCGGTTTAATTGGAAGATCGTATTCAAGATAATCGAGATTCAAATACCATTTACAATCTTATTCTAAATTTCAAATTAGAGCAATTCAAAATGGAAATTTCAGTGATAATATATTTAAATTTTACATTAAGTCTTCTCTCATTTAAAGCTCGTTAAACCACTTAAAAAAAAAAAAAAACTTACACCCAATCTTCTTGTTTCAAATTGGAGTCACAAAATGGAAATTTAATATTTAAATTTCATAAATTTACAAAACACACTGATAAATTAAATGTAAACAAAAGAAAATGCTTGTAATCGAAATTTAATAAACTGAAACCTTTTCTCCCCTGTAATTAATAGAAAAACGGAAAAAAAAAAAAAGAAAAGAAAAAGAAGAGAGGAAAAAAGAGAAAAGCTGTTCTTTTTTACTAAGAGTCAAGAAAAATCACACATTCGACGCAATTAATAAGAGTGGCGAGCAGCAAGAGTGAAAATAATGAGACTCTTGATCGGTGAAATCCGAACAAAAGTTCCGATTGCCTGATAGCTCGATCCTGATATACCTCGCCCGTGCCCTGGAGTTGACATATCGACAGAGAAACATATGATGAAGTAATATTTTTCCAAGTTGTACGTCGTTCCCTACGGCGACAGGATTTCGTTCTTTTGTTACAGAGTTTCATTCCCCCAGTTCATAGCCTGCCTTGTCTTAAGCACTCGGAGAGCCCTGCCTCCTCGCGATATTACGATTTCCCGTGTTTCCACCCTTTACTGCAGAAAACTTATATTGTTTAAATTGACTGCCACTGTTATTATTGCTTCCTGTTCGACGTATTTGAGTTTTCAGTTTTACATAGCTCGGAGAAATTCTTCCACCAAGTTATAACATATATCATTCTTTTTAAGATCGATTTTTAAGACACAATTCATTGGAAATGGATTTTTTTCGTTCATCTCCACGTTGTTTCAATCTATTTTAATTTAATTTTAAAAATTTCCTTTATCGAGTTTTGACTGACAAACATTTCCGATCGGACGAAATCTATTATTTCTATCGTAAATTTGTATTTTTTCCCCTTCTTTTTTTAGTTTCACTAAAATATTCTAATTTAATTTTTAAAAAACCACGTCCATCGAATTTGACACGAATTTTCGACCGAATTAAATTCTATTTATTTTTCCTCGCGTTTGGAAAATATTATCGGAAACAATTCGCAATTTTGTTAATTTTTCTTCATTGAAGATATTCTACCTTAAAAGCTTTCTCGATCGACACAATTTTCGACCGAAGTAAATCCATTATTCCCCCCATCATTTTTCTTCACGTTCAGTCGATCGAGCAATACCAAATGAATTCCTCTCAAAGAAACTGAGAAACTCCTTTCAATATCGTATTTACCTCACTGAGATTTTTCGCTGTATGTATTTTTTAACTACGTACAAATAAAATAAAAAGAAAAAAAAAAGAAGAAAAAACAGAAAGATTATCGAAGAATTTCCACTTATACGCGAATAAAGGATGAAAATTCCAATTGCGGGGTGAACTTGCGCGATTAATGGAGGCAAATAAATACAGAAATATTCCTGGAATTAAAGCTAGAGCGAATAGAGAACGTCGTATTTTCTTTTCAAACCTTCCAACCTCCAGCAGCTTGTTCATTCTGATAAGATTGCGCAGTCATCGTTCGCTACTTCACATTTCGGGCCAACAAAAATAACGAAAGAGGAAAATCCATCAGGGCGAAATTACTTTTCCTTTAGGGAATTTAATTTTCACGTTACATATAAAGTATCAGTTAACAGTTGTGCGCCTCTTTTAATTTCCATTGGCCGTACTTCGAATATCACTGTTTTTTTTTTTTTTTTTTTTCCTTATTTTATTTTTCCTCCCCTTTGATTTCTTTATTTTCTATTTTCGTTGATGAAAACGAGGAGAAAATTTTTACGACTAGTGTAGCTCGCAATTTCGGTATTGCATTTACCCTCTGTACAATTTTATTTTTACCATTCAATATATTAGATTGGCAAATATGAAATATCGAAATTAAATGTAAATCATATACCCAATGTTTTTAACAAGATTTACGTTGATAAAGTTTTTTTTGATAAAGAATCTTATCAAGAATCATAAATAATTTGAATATTAATTTGATAATAAAAATAACTTCAAATTTGAAGTAATATATAAATATGTTATCAACATGTTATCAAAATTTATCATTTATTCCTTTTAATTTTGCAATAAATTCTAATTAACTAATGAACAAGCTATAAAAAACATTGCATTTAAAGAAAATGTTATTATATACATTTTCTTGAATATTATATATTACATATCAAATATTTATCAAAGAATGAAATCAAGTGAAGGAGAAATAAAATATATTTATTTTTGATATGTCAGAAACTTACCTGAAAATCTTGCGGTGACGGTGATGATTCCTTCTGATGTTGGCTTGGACTTTGAGGGGGGCTGGGAGCGGATCTGGGGCTTTGGGGTCGGGTTCCCAACTCGTAAATGTTGATCATGTGAGCTGCCTGGGCGTGAACCATCAATTCCCATGCTGAGGGGAATGATACCTTGCAGAGAACGCATAGCAGAGCCGTTGTAGAATCTCCTTGGAACATAAACATGAAAGTATTATGTTTGGTAATAATTTACACATGTGTTGTTTGTCAAAACTCACCATATATATATATTTGTATATGTGTATGTGTGTGGCTTTAAATCTTTTTGGAAAAAAATTATACACATAACAAAAAAAAAAAAAAAAAGAAATATAAAAATATAACAATAAGATGTAAGTCTTAAGACTTAATTATAATAGTTTTTAATTAGAAAATGAAGTATTATTATTAGTTTGAAAATCAAAATCATCAATTTTTATCCAAATTTAATATTTTTTTTAATAACACATTGAAAAATGAATGCAATTCAATAGAATACAATACAAGTATCCTAAGATTTTTTTAAAATCTTATAGTTTTTGCCTACAAAAATATTACACTCTATTCAAACCTTGCTCAAAATAGTCAAATAAAAAATTATTCAAAATCCTTTCTCCTTCACAAAATCCATTACAATCATTACCCCTTTCTTCACCCCCAACATTTCTCAAAGTAGTGAATACACCACGTAAAACCGGAAGAAACAACTTTGCAAAGCGTCAGCAGAAGGTAAAGAAAATCCCTTGCAAATTTGTCGAGCAACGACGCTTTCCATCTAACCAAATAGCGGGATTAGCCTTTGAACCGAACGCGGCTGCGAATAAAACTCAAGGATTCACAATTCCGTTGGTTCCGCGGGAAAAGGGAATCGACTCCGGGGGATCCAAGATTCGAATTTTCATTTTTACATTCGGCCCATTCAATATCGGCGCGATAAGGATAACAAGAGGGAAAAATAGAGGGGGAAAGTAGAGGGGTTGATATGTGTTTTCAAACAACGGCTGCTGCTGCGCCCTCGAATTTCGACGAAAGCCCGGTTCTTTATTGAAAAATTTCTTAAAGGAAAACGTAGAAAGGCAGAGGGGAATTCGCACGATCCAGAGCGATCGTTTTTAACCCGTTCTCGGGGGAACGAGAGTGGATCTTTCTTTCGACTACGTACTTGGGGCTGTTCCATTGAAGGTGTGACATTTACATGTGAACCGCAGTTTGCAGTAATTCCGCTTGTGCTCGAGCAACTCGCCCAGATCCGTAAACATCTCCCTGCAATTGCCGCAGATCAGGATATCCGGGTTGCCTGCAACGTGGAAAAATTGCGAATTGGTTTCCATTGGTCTCGTTCGATCTTTGTCGTTTAATCGTTTTTTTCTTTTTCTTTTTTTTAATCGAAAGTGCAACAAGCAAGATTTTGGTTTAACTTGGAAGAAATTTAATTTTTGAAGATGCGAAGAGGCAAAGGTCTTGTCGTCCGTTATTATTTCTATTCGTTCCCGTAATTTGTCTTACAATCTTATTCCGGAATAATTGCACGCCGATCACTTTGAAGTTGAGAATTAATTCGACTTTTGACCGGGAATATTGGAGTATATCTTCGCTTCTCGTTTTATTAAGGAGAATAATGAAAGATAATTTCTTTCTTCCTTTGCCGTTTGAAATTGAATAGCCGGCTGATGCGATTAGCCACGGTAAAAAGTAAAACTTGTTAGGCACGTTTGAAACGTGAATTAAGTTTCGAACATAATTATGCTCGAATTAATGTTTAAAATGTTACGAATGTAACATGAAAAACGTGTGCTTTTATATATTTCTTAATTATTCGAAATATTATGTATTTAAAAAATGGAAAAGAGAATTGTTGCGACAATAGATATTAAATATTTAGGTAATATTTATTACCAAAAAAGAAAAAAAATTTTTATATTTGATCTCTGGAATCAACTTTCCAATATATTTCAATTACCATATCGAACATATCTGTGTGTAAATTTAAAGAATTTAGCAATTCTCCAATGAATTAAAAAAACGATATATGTATATGTATATAAAAGAAAAAAAAATAGTCGAAAAAATACTTACTATACACTTTAAGTTGATTCAGATCGGGTACAGTTGCCGTGTTCGTAGCGGGCTGTTGCTTCTGTTGTTTAGGATGTTGGGATCGAGCCGGTGGCATCAGCCGAGGTCTCTTCAATGGTGGCGCCAAACGGGGTGGAAAAGCGGTGGACGCGTAGTAACTGAAAATAAAGTTGGATACTAGAGTGTCACCATCCACCGCCAAGTGAATAATTGTTTAACATCGCCAGTTGAATACCTAAATAGACGAAATAACGGTTTTGGCAACGGCTTCGAAACTTTTCAGAGGTTGAAGTTCGAAGAACGATTATATTTAAAAGGATTTTTATTCGGCAATTTACACAACTGAAAAGAAGATTATTACGATCCATCGTGAAATTTTTGATTGGGAATTTTTAATTATGATAATTTAGCTGCAAAAATTTATGCAAGTAGAAAAGAAATTCGAATTGTTGAAAAAGGAATAAAAAGTGGAAAAAAAGGGAACGATGGATTCTCGCTATAGAGAAATTTTTCGAAAAGAGAGAAGAAAGTGGAAAGAAGCTTTGAAGATTGAAGCGGCGAGGTATCAAATAATAGAAAACCTTTCAAAAGGAAACTACTAAGAAGAAGCTTCGAAATTAAAAATATCTATAATACACGAAATACAAAATTTCTCAAGAAATCGATTCGTTTTAACGAAATTGGACGAATATTCGATCAAAACGAATTTAAAATTAAAATCCCTCTTAAATTTCTCTTCCTTTTTCCTTCCGTTTTTGTTACCCCGTGCTCGAAAGGATTAAACAATCTTCTCGAACAACGTAACACATTCTACGTATACATTTAATCAACAAATTTAAACGCAACAGCACGGCGGAACGTGTTTGCACGCAAGCTTCTTTCACGAATACTATCGTCTCGATTAAAAGGCTCTCGTGGAATTGCTCTCGTCGTCGAATTTCTAATAAAACTCGACTCGAGAACGCTTGTCTTCGAGATCGCTAATTCGCCGAAATTCCACCCATTTCCAGACATCCATTTCAGCCGCTAAGAAACACATTCCTTCTACACATATATATACATACATATATATATATATATATATACATCCAACCTCGATAAAGATTCAAAAGGCGTCCGTCTACACGTCCACCTAACTGAATTTAATCGGATGTGTTTGGACTTTTGATAAAATCGATGCGACATTGTCGCCGCTCGACAAGCCACTTCGGATACGATAGAAGCGGAAAGGGGTGAGTTTTCGAGCGAAAGACAGAGAGAGAAAGGGGGGAGGGGAATCAGAGTGGAAACAAGAGGAGCAGAAAAGAGGAATCGCAACCCCTCGTATTTATCCGGCTATGTATTTCCTCCGTCTGTCCTTGCCGCTTTCACCCCTCCGCCAAGCTTTCGTTGAATAAAACTTCCTCTTCTTTCGCCATACCCCTCCCCCCCCTCTCCTTCCACGCTCTCTCCTTCAACCTTCTCTCCAGTCT